ATATGTTTAATATGTAAAAGAAAGAAGTAAGAAAAGCACAAGTTCTGAGCGAATTTTCACGTGTTGCATAACAAAAAAAAATAATGCAACAATTGTGTTCAAAATTATAAACACATTTTTTGGAAGTTTTAATGAGCAAGTCCTGCCTGATAAATAATTTAATTTTTCCTTCAAAAACATGATAGAAATTGTTGGCTAATAGTTGATCCATTTTTTATACCCTGAACCCATTAAATGTGGGTATAAGGGTATATTGTATTTGTGCAAAATCCAAATGTGTGTAACAGGCAGAAGGAAGCATCTCCGACCCCATAAACTATATATATTCTTGATTAGCACCAATAGTCGAGTCGATCTGGCCATTTCCGTCTGTCTGTCCGTCCGTCTGTCCCTATGTATGAACGCAAGGATCTCACAACCTAAAAGAGCTAGAGACTTGAAGACAATAAGATGTAGGTGCTACTATTGCCTGCGCAGATCGAGTTTGTTTTCGATAATCGATAACTTACTCCGTTTCCAAGCAATCGATAAAAATCGATATCGATATCTTGTTTTTTGGGCAATTTTGGGTAATAATAAGAGCTAGAGTCACCAAACTTGACATATAGCTTCTAAAATAGAATATATATATGCATTTGATGTTGGAAGAAGAGGGTTCAGGGTATCCCCTAGCCGGGAGCTCCCGACTAGAACCTCTTACTTGTTTTAAATATATTTCCAAAGGTTTCATGAGGACATCCTGCCTGAGAATTCATTTACACAAATTCCTCTTTCACAAACTTAGAGTCTTATTGTTTAAGGAAAAATTTATTACATTTTTACATCAAAAAAATGTTAACAAATAGTTGATCAAAATTTTGTAAATTAAAGAATTGTACTTTTTTGAGACTACAGATTTAACAAACTGTTGATTTTAATTTTGTATTTCAATGAATTGTATATTTTTTAAAAAAATTTTGATTAAAATTCATTTTTATTTGATAAATTTTTGTTGCCTAAGAGCATGTCAAGTCATATTTAGATTTGACTGGCAGTCTTTCAGCTTGAGGCAAACAACAATCAAATGGCAAAGGAAGAAAAGCTTTTGTATACATTCAGACACTAACTAACTGACTGTCTGACTCTCTGTCCGATTGTCTGAGTGTCGGACTGTGTGTCTATTTTGCATTTTTATAAGGCACAGTTGCAATCGAGTCTGAGGGGTATTTAATTGAACAAGTGAGCACTTTATTAAAATGTCACTCAACGTGTTTAGTTGGGCGTGAGAGGAAGGGCAAGGGCCGACGGGGGGGCGGGTTATGCTGGCGACGTGGCCTGTGCAAATTTCATTATTGTTGTGTCAGGTATTTGACAGCCGGTTTCACCTACATTTAACGGCAACTGAGCTGCAGTTCAGCTCACCTATGCATATTTAATAATATTTTTGGTGCAGCCGAGCAAAATTTGCAACTAATCCGCAGGCAGACGGCAGCCGGCCGGCAAAAACAACCCAATAAAACAGCAGCAAAAATAGTTAGCTAGAAACTAGAGAGAGAGAGAGAGTGTGTGAGAGAGAGGGGGAGAGCGAGAGAGAACTCGTATATCATTTGGGGTCCCGGACAACAATGGGTTCGGGTTCGGGTTCGGCTTGGCTAACAAGAAACACAACAGCCAAACACACTGGCAAAAAAAAAGTTTGAAATGAAAAAGCAGTCAGCATATGAAATGAGTTTATTACTCAAAATGTTCCAACACACACATGGACACAAACACGCACACAACTAGGAAACTGCGACTCACTTTAAGTGGCAATGCAGCGAGGGTACAGGGAACGGATGACGTCCTAGCTGGTTGCCTCGTGGGTTGTCGGTTGAATAGGGTATGATATGGTATGATATGATGTGGTTGGGCTGGGCTGGTAGCCAGGTTGGTTTCAAGATTGGTTGACTAGTTGGTTGCGCTGCCTGCTGCGTGCCTGTTGACGGCATGCGTCCAAATGGTTCCATTTGTTAATAAAATATTTAAAATAAAGCAAATTGTGCGCTGCTTAATCAAAGCGCATGTAAGCCTTTGTGTGCGTGTGTGTGTGTGTGTGTGTGCGTGTGTTATAATAATTCGCAAAATGGCGGAAACATTTATGCAACGTCACCGTCAAACTGGCATGAAAAGGAAATGCGCCAAAATAGGACAGTGTTAATTGAGCGCGGCGAGACAACAGCAACAACAAGGACAACATGAACGACAAGGATAACGAGAACAACAGCCAGAACGAATCGGATGTGTTTTTGCTCGGGCTGCGGAAATTGGTTTATAGATCTATCGCCTAGATACGTATTTAGCCGCATCCAAATTGTAAATTGAAGATGCGCACGTTCATTGCATATGCAAATTGTTTGTCGTCCTTTCCTGAGTACCTGAAATTGCTTTTACTTTGCCGCCCCTCAAACCCAAACCGGAGACCCGCCCAACAGCTGGACGAGGGTTCACTTTCAAGTTGAACAAGTCTCGAGAGATATTTCACAAATAATTCACAAAGCCAATCGACGCTTTACGCTTTGTGAGCAGTGCATTAAATAGGGCGGTGTTTGGTTCAAAGGTGTGCAATTTATTAATTATTATTAACTGCAGGTAACAGCTGACTGATAAATCAGGAATTGCATGCACACTAAGTTCTGTTTTTACACGGTAGATTTGTTTCAGAAAAAATTGTGTAAAAAAAGAAATTGAACGTATGCAAAAATAGGTGACAGGTTCCCTATCTCTAAAACCTATTAAAATTAGTGAAAAATATGGATTTTTTAAGAACATGTTAATTTAATTAAATCGCATATATAACGTGTATTTACCCAATCACAATTGTTAAAGAAAGAAAGATATGCACTCCAAGCTTAAAATTAATGAAAAATAAATGTCTGACTAGTTCAGGTACTAGAAACATTTATGCTAAGCTAGCTTTGTTGCTAACAAAAAGAAAAGGTTATTCAAGTGGATTCCCCTAAATTTATATTTATAATTTATATATAGATATGAACATATTTTGCAAAATTAAATTTGATAAAAGATATTAAAGCCCAACAAATTTTGATATGTGCTAATTGGTAAAAGTATTGAAACATTTTCTTCGAGCCGTGTAAAAAAGAGAATAAGGTGTATTTTAAATTATTACTTTAATAAACTTTTAAGCAGAAACTGATGCAACCCAAGAAAAAGCCAAAAAATAGATAAATAAATAACATTGATTTATTTTTGGCTCTATCTATCCAGCTAATCTTCTAAACCCCAAGTTGTCTACAGAAGCAACAGAACTGCCCTCGCTGGCGGCTTATTTATTAAAAATGCTTGTTTGTAAATTATTAAGTTAATAAAATATTAAGCAGAAAATGATGCAACCATACCCCAATAAAAAACAAATAAATATCTTTATAAATATTAACGTATTCTTTTTCTGAAGCAACTGAACTGCCCTCGCTGGCATCGAGCACATTAGCTTTAGCCTTTAGCCTTTAGTTTTAGTTTCAGCATTTTTTCGCAGAAATTTCTTCCAGTTGGTCGGCCGGCACATAAAAACGTTTGGGGCCTGTGTTGAGAGAGAGAAAGAGAGTTGGGCGTGGCCATTTGGCTGATGTGGCAGGTCGTTGGCTGCATTAGCTGCAAGCTCCAAACTGCGAGCTGCAAGCGGCTCAAGTGCAAAATCGAATTTACTCGTTGCCAACGGCATTTCGTCTTAGCAGCCAAGTGAAGTAAGTACCTCAGCCATCTCGACCATCGACCGCCGACCGCCTGTCAGTGGCACTTTCTTTTCCGGCCTCTCTCCTTCTCCAACCTCTTATCCTTAAACGCAGCGACGATGCCGATAAGCGCTTGCAACATGCGTGCCAAACACACGTGAGCTCCCAAATGTTGGCAAACAAAGAAAAAAGAAGGTGTCCAAAAAAAAAACCAGACAAGAATAGAACGGGCAACGGTTTGGGGGTATGTGTGTGCGAGGGCTGGAGGGAAGAGCAGGTGTCTAAGGGGCAGCATCACCAGCACCTTTGCCTTTAACTCGGCTGTGGCTCCGCCTGTGGCTGTGGCTCCAGCTCCAGTTTCTCTGCTATTAGTTTTCACCACTTCTTGTTCCGCTTCCCATTCCCAGCTGTTGCTGTTTTTGTTGTTGGTTTTGTTGTTTAAGTGCAACATGAATTGTGAATACCAAGGAGCCGTCCACATCCCGAACTCTCCCTGCTTGCTGCTCATCTGCATGCAGCTGCCACCAAGGTGGCCTGCCTCTACTCTCTCCCTTCCTTCCTCCTCTCTCTCTCTCTCTCTCTCTCTCCATCTGTTGTTTTTGTAGCTGTCGTTAGTGCTGGCCACAGAACTAATACACTGACAATGCTCTTCCACCTGTGTAGGCAGGTGTGTTCTAGTGTGCGCCCTGGCATGTGTGTGTGCGTTTTAGTTGACTATGTATCCAAATGTTTGTTAGTCTTGTTTGGCCCGTACTAAGATATATGGCAGCTGCCAAAAGATGCAAAACATGACTTTTCTATATGCCAGAAGGCAGAATCATGTCCTGCTGTGCGCTTGCCTTGCTGGAAGCCACATACCTAAAAATATATGCATATAAACAGAGAGAGACAGGGAGAGAGAGAGAGAGAGTGAGAGCCGGGGACAGAAAGTCTGTTCGCAATGGCTATGACAGCTTATGCTATCGTTATTATATATTTAGCAGAATGGCACTTATTATGATATTGAACAGGCGCCATGCCAGGAAATTGCAGTTCTCTATAAAAATCAACAGAAATCCATTGTGGAAGAGAATGCAAGGAAACACTTGTTGAACAACAGAGAAGAAACGAGTTGGATGGATCTACATAGAAGATTGTCTTTTCATAAAAGGAAGGTCTTACTGGACAAGCTTGCCGTCTGAGGAAAAAAGAAACAAGACACCACGCCGGAAATTGCAGTTCTCCATAAAAATAAAAGGAAACATTTACTGCACAGCAGAGAAGAAATGAGTTGGAAGGACTTGGATAGGATAGTGTCTTTTAATAAAAGAAAGGCTACACGGAAAAATCTTCCCGTCTGAGAAAAAAATGAACGACAAAATAAGTATGCATTATTTGAGCGAGCGCAAACAGAATGTCTCTAAGGGTCTGTTGCGGCAATATTGAATCCAGTTATGACAATTAAAGGTTCTCCGAACAGCTTCGCTGCGCCCGATAATCGAGTAGTACTTTTTTGCCTCCACAACTTGGACTCGGTAATACTGATGCGTTGGGACAAGCGTCTGTGCTCACAGCGAAGTTTCTCAACTGCGACCCGCTTCAGCTGCAAGAACTCCACAGTCTTGTCGTAGTCCTCCAATAGAATGGGATAGTGCATCAGGGACCCAGAGTTGCGGATTTTGTGCAGCTCCCTGAGAAATCGGTTGTGCTTCAGCTTGCTCTGGTAGATGAGTTCGCGATAGTGGCGCCTCGATCGCTTGCATTCCGCCAGCTTCTGTATCATGTCCAGGTAAACTTTGCGGCACATGTGCTCCTTGCACTTGACATGCGCCAGCGCATGCACATCAAAGTTGATTTTCCCTTGCAGCCGATTCAGCTCAGCGTCGCGTTCTGCAGGGCATTTTTTTAGGGGCTCAGCGTTGGGAACTGTTGGCGGACATACCTGCGATTTTGGTGCCCAACACAAGGACATCGGACTGCTTGTTGAGATACTCTTGCATCTTGAGTCCATCGCCCAGATCCTCCAAGATCTCGGATTTCTATCGATTAGCATACACGTTAACGAGAGCTCTACTCTGCCCCTCTTACCGGCTAAAATAACAATCTTACCATCTGCATTTCGGCAAGGCGATGCTGGTTGTAGAGCAGCTCCAGTCGCAGCTCGGACAACTCATCCCGAAAGCTTCTCATGGTACTTAGGACCTCGTTCACGACACCTGTCAGATGATTAGAGCTGTCGTTGGCGAGGAGAGTCGTTCGCACAACTTGCTCGAAATCCTGAACCTTCTGATCGCTGTTAATGCGCGCGTTCTCAAGCTCCTCGGTCAACTTGATCGACTGCATTTGGGCCAGATCAAATGTTTGATTATGGACCTCGAGCAGTCGATCAAGCTCGACAAGGGAGCTCTGTCGCCGCTGGTAATTGAGGTCATCGAATATCTTGGGTATTTTCAAAAACACGAACTGTTTCTTGCGCACAAAATGCTCGGTGACCCGCTGCTCCATCGTGGTCTTGAAGAATTGCTCTTCGGTAAATTGTTTCATCAACGGGATGAGCTCTCTGATCAGCTTATCCTTATCGAGCACGCGCCGCAGCTTCACATCTTCCTGATCGGAGAAGGCTACAACTCGTTGTACTATCTCATCCAGGAAATATTCGCATGCCTCCAAGGCTGCCCGCCGCTGATTTTCGAGATTTTCATTATAGAAATCGACCATATCTATATGACTCTTGCGAATGATAATTGAATTAAGGGTTCTAGCGACATCCACGTCTTCATCTATTGCGCCCACAATTTTTGCACTGACAGGAAACCTATCAACGCTGTCACTTAAACTATCAAGGTTCAGGAGCGAGTGGCTGTGGGAGAAATCGAGCTCGGAGCTGGATTCCTCCTCGACTCTTTCTACAGCAGATGTGGTTTCTTGGTGTTTGAGGCTAGGCTCAGGGCTTTTCAAGGAGGAATCTTCACTATCGCCATCCCACGTTGGGGGCACAAAATGTCCGTCATATTCGGATCGTTTATGCACGATAACCGAGGCATAACTTCCCTCGGATAGCTCATCAATATCTGGAATTTCCTTTAGCAGTGCAAGCAGGCTATTCCGCTTGTGGATCATCTCCCCTTTATCATGCGTATCTTGACTAGCTGACGAATCGGGCGTGCCCGACAGCTCCGACAATGAACCCTCTTCCGAATGAAATATATCTTCAGTTAGTTTCTTTTTCAACTTGGCTAACGATTTCCTCAATTCCGATCTCCTCGATTCCGATCTCCGAGTTTCCGGTCTCTTTTTGGCCTTCCTCAGCGAGCTCCGAATTTGATTAGGGCTCGAATCCTTGGAAGTTCCAGATTTTGTGTCCCGTATTATTGAAAGGGATCGCGGCGTACGTGTGCCCGGGCTGCTCCTGGAGGATCCGCGACTCGTAGACCGAGCCGATTGGGCACTGGGTACTGACAAAATGCTCACATCACTAATATTTCCACTTTTGATCAACGGGGGAATCGGCGAATTAGCCTGGGAAGTCGTGTGTTTGACGACCTTAGTGCCTTTTACCCTTTTCGTTTCCTTTGACTTGATGGAAGCCCCACTCTTTTTACTGCTATTCGAACCTGCACTGATGACATTCGATTTTTGACGGGTAGACTTAATAGAGCCCGTCTGAAGGTTTGAGACGAGAGATGCATCTATGGACCTTGCGGGCTTATCCTTCTTTCTCTCCGTCTTCAAGGAAGCCTTGTTGTTAATTGGCTCTTGGCTAGGTAAAGCTGTTTCCTGGTGTTCCTGTACATTTGTCAGGCTAGCGTTTGCACTCAAAGAGCCGGAGCTATAAGCATCAGCTAGATTGTCCAAGTTGTCCAAGTGATCCAGGTGATCCAAATGATCTTTATCTCGCAAATCTACATTTTGAATCGAAGACTGCTTGGCAAGCTCCAACATTGGGTCCCGCAAGGGCTCGCCAACAGATTGACTCAAGGGTTCCTCTGTTTGATCATTCAATTTCCCGATTGGCTCATCTATATATATATCTTCCTCCACTGGATCATTATACAGAATAGTCTCTTTTAGCTCCAAAGGTTCCTCCAATGTGGGCACAACACCCTCCGAGCTGTCTTCAGCTGCATCCATTTCGCCACTCATGCTTCAGTCTGTTTGATGGTCTTCAATATTTGCAGCAACAAAAAAAAAAAAAAAAAGCGAACAAAAAACTTAACAAAAAATAAACTTCTCCGCAGGCAACAAAAATATGTTTTGTGGAATATTCAAAGAATTAATATTGAACTCTTAATATTTCGCACAAAAGTTACTAGGTTTTCGGCTTTTAGGCTTTTTATTGGAGGATCACCACTTTGAGTACCATGCAAGCATATCAGATTATCGAAATGCCGTCAACAAGAAGTTTTCACTTTGGCCCAAGCCGAGCCCGATAGGAAGCCAGTCAACCCACTAACAACTTCTTGTGGAACTACACACACAATTACCGCAACGAAAACGAGACCCAGCCCCAGCCCAAATGCTGTCCAAGGACCACAAGGAGACACCTACCCTCTAACTTGACTTGGCAGTACCTGGCCGGGGCCACCCAGCCCGTTGCTCCCAGCACGTTTTTGGCTGGCCTGTTGTTGGTTAATATCATCACTCATGTATGCCGCATACTAAAGAGAATTTATCATGTCTGCTGCGGCAGTTGTAAAAAAAAAACGAATAAGACCGAAGGCAGCAGCAGCTCTCGAACGGGTTTCGCTCAAGTGTTTCGCCAGCCCAGCTACTATACAGATAAATCTATCCATATATCTATATATACAGATATATTTATATACAGGTGTATTTATATATGTAGTAGCTGTGTGTGTGTCTGTGTGCCTGTGGCTTTGGCTCTGGAGTTTCAGCTCACCTGCTGCTCACCTGCGGCTCACCTGCCGCTCACCTGCTGCTGCTGCATGCTCGCAAATTCGTTTACGTTCACGTTGCCCCCATCTGCTAAGTAGATTTCGGGCTACCTGCATCAGCTCGTTACAGCTGCAGCGCCGAGGGAATATTCCTCTCTCGTTCTTTACCTATTTTATTTTTTTTTTGCATGCATATATACTTTTTTTTTTGTCGTCCTGCTTTTGGCTGGTGAGCGGATTTTGGCAAATTGCCTAAAACTTTCTTTATATTTGATGTAATGAATTCCTGACGTGCTGTCGTCGAGAAATGTTTTCACTAATGCAGAGTGTGCAGCCCCATTTCCCCCCTCCACCTCCCACTCCCGTCATGCCAAATGTATCTATAGATACAACACCTGCATTGCCAGCGACAAAGAACGCTTGAAACGCAAAGCAACAGCCACACATTGCGTATGCGTAATGTGTAACAGATATGCCCCTCTCACTCTTTCTGCTCGCTAGCCACACGACTGTATGTGCGAGTGTGTGTGTGTGTGTGTGCGCGTGTGTGAGTTCCGTTTCCGCAATTAAAATGTTGATTACATGAAGTACGACTGCCGCTTGTTTGTTTGCCGCTGCCGCTGTGGGCGCTACAAAGGAAAACGGAAATTATGTGTATGCGGGCGCTAGCTAAGCTTAGCCGAGCTGCGGCACCAAAACCAAAACCAACACTCTGAACACTCTGAACAATGGTAACAACAACAACTGGCGCATAAATTTTAACCATTTGCGCTCGTCTGATAAGATTTGCCAGCTCCGCTTTTGTGGCGTCAGAGCCCCAAACCGCGCACTGGGCCGCAATTAGGCGATAAACATATTGCCAAGAAAACACTCTCGATACACAAAAACAGCAGCTAAACAAAAATGTGTGATAGTACTGAGCCTTGCGAGTCCAAAATGGTATATCATTCCAAAATCGAACAATATTTGACCGAGACAAACGTCAAACAAGTTTGACATCGTGAACAATCCGTCAACAATTCTTCCGATAGTTCATTTTTTAATGCCATTGGATAGAATTCCGTACCAATTTAAAAAGGTATTAAAATATCGGACATTATTTGGCCGAGATATTCCATAAAAATCATCAAAACCTTTGACATTATTGGAGACTTGGTTTTCTGTAAGCCCCTGATATTTGATTTAATTGATAGCAGGGATTGATTAATATTTAATTAATAGCAGGGATCCTTATGCATTCATAAGGGCATAACATTTTAAAATCTAACCATATTTACCGGAGATATTAAAAAAAAATCATCAAAAAGGGTTGACTTTACAAACGAATCGTTTTTGGGTCCACAACTTTTTTCAACCCACCGATTTTTAATTTGTTTGAGTGCCAATTTATAGTAGGGATCCGTACAAATTCAAAAAGGTATAATATTTGAAAATCAGACTTTATTTACCCGAGATATTCAAAAAAAATCATCAAAAAAGTTATGATTTTCGAACCGACCCCGATTTTGATAAAAAACGTGATGTAACCCCTTGCCATTTTGGTCGATTTGGGTCAAAATTTAGATTTTCATTTTTTTGATGCAAGTCGATAGTACTGATTCTTACGAGTCCAAAATGGTATAAAATTCCACAATCGGACATTATTTGGCCCAGATATTCAAAAAAATCATCAAGAAATGTTGACTTTACAAACGAATCGTTTTTGGGTCCACAACTTTTTTTAACCCACCGATTTTTAATTTGTTTGAGTGCCAATTTATAGTAGGGATCCGTACAAATTCAAAAAGGTATAATATTTGAAAATCAGACTTTATTTACCCGAGATATTCAAAAAAAATCATCAAAAAAGTTATGATTTTCGAACCGACCCCGATTTTGATAAAAAACGTGATGTAACCCCTTGCCATTTTGGTCGATTTGGGTCAAAATTTAGATTTTCATTTTTTTGATGCAAGTCGATAGTACTGATTCTTACGAGTCCAAAATGGTATAAAATTCCACAATCGGACATTATTTGGCCCAGATATTCAAAAAAATCATCAAGAAAGGTTGACTTTACAAACGAATCGTTTTTTGGTCCACACCTTTTTTTAACCCACCGATTTTTAATTTGTTTGAATGCCAATTGATAGTAGGGATCCGTACAAATTCAAAAAGGTATAATATTTGAAAATCAGACTTAATTTACCCGAGATATTCAAAAAAAATCATCAAAAAAGTTATGATTTTCGAACCGACCCCGATTTTGATAAAAAACGTGATGTAACCCCTTGCCATTTTGGTCGATTTGGGTCAAAATTTAGATTTTCATTTTTTTGATGCAAGTCGATAGTACTGATTCTTACGAGTCCAAAATGGTATAAAATTCCACAATCGGACATTATTTGGCCCAGATATTCAAAAAAATCATCAAGAAAGGTTGACTTTACAAACGAATCGTTTTTGGGTCCACAACTTTTTTTAACCCACCGATTTTTAATTTGTTTGAATGCCAATTGATAGTAGGGATCCGTACAAATTCAAAAAGGTATAATATTTCAAAATCAGACGTTATTTACCCGAGATATTCAAAAAAATCATCAAAAAAGTTATGATTTTCGAACCGACCCCGATTTTGATAAAAAACGTGATGTAACCCCTTGCCATTTCGGTCGATTTGGGTCAAAATTTAGATTTTCATTTTTTTGATGCAAGTCGATAGTACTGATTCTTACGAGTCCAAAATGGTATAAAATTCCACAATCGGACATTATTTGGCCCAGATATTCAAAAAAATCATCAAGAAATGTTGACTTTACAAACGAATCGTTTTTGGGTCCACAACTTTTTTTAACCCACCGATTTTTAATTTGTTTGAGTGCCAATTTATAGTAGGGATCCGTACAAATTCAAAAAGGTATAATATTTGAAAATCAGACTTTATTTACCCGAGATATTCAAAAAAAATCATCAAAAAAGTTATGATTTTCGAACCGACCCCGATTTTGATAAAAAACGTGATGTAACCCCTTGCCATTTTGGTCGATTTGGGTCAAAATTTAGATTTTCATTTTTTTGATGCAAGTCGATAGTACTGATTCTTACGAGTCCAAAATGGTATAAAATTCCACAATCGGACATTATTTGGCCCAGATATTCAAAAAAATCATCAAGAAAGGTTGACTTTACAAACGAATCGTTTTTTGGTCCACACCTTTTTTTAACCCACCGATTTTTAATTTGTTTGAATGCCAATTGATAGTAGGGATCCGTACAAATTCAAAAAGGTATAATATTTGAAAATCAGACTTAATTTACCCGAGATATTCAAAAAAAATCATCAAAAAAGTTATGATTTTCGAACCGACCCCGATTTTGATAAAAAACGTGATGTAACCCCTTGCCATTTTGGTCGATTTGGGTCAAAATTTAGATTTTCATTTTTTTGATGCAAGTCGATAGTACTGATTCTTACGAGTCCAAAATGGTATAAAATTCCACAATCGGACATTATTTGGCCCAGATATTCAAAAAAATCATCAAGAAAGGTTGACTTTACAAACGAATCGTTTTTGGGTCCACAACTTTTTTTAACCCACCGATTTTTAATTTGTTTGAATGCCAATTGATAGTAGGGATCCGTACAAATTCAAAAAGGTATAATATTTCAAAATCAGACGTTATTTACCCGAGATATTCAAAAAAATCATCAAAAAAGTTATGATTTTCGAACCGACCCCGATTTTGATAAAAAACGTGATGTAACCCCTTGCCATTTCGGTCGATTTGGGTCAAAATTTAGATTTTCATTTTTTTGATGCAAGTCGATAGTACTGATTCTTACGAGTCCAAAATGGTATAAAATTCCACAATCGGACATTATTTGGCCCAGATATTCAAAAAAATCATCAAGAAAGGTTGACTTTACAAACGAATCGTTTTTGGGTCCACAACTTTTTTTAACCCACCGATTTTTAATTTGTTTGAATGCCAATTGATAGTAGGGATCCGTACAAATTCAAAAAGGTATAATATTTGAAAATCAGACGTTATTTACCCGAGATATTCAAAAAAAAATCATCAAAAAAGTTATGATTTTCGAACCGACCCCGATTTTGATAAAAAACGTGATGTAACCCCTTGCCATTTTGGTCGATTTGGGTCAAAATTTAGATTTTCATTTTTTTGATGCAAGTCGATAGTACTGATTCTTACGAGTCCAAAATGGTATAAAATTCCACAATCGGACATTATTTGGCCCAGATATTCAAAAAAATCATCAAGAAAGGTTGACTTTACAAACGAA